TTATGTGCTTAAGTCCCGTTCACTCCAACGGAACTTAAGCATGTGCTTAAACTTCAGCATGTGCTTAAGTGCTTCCCTGAATTGGGATGTATATTGATGTGATCAGCCTGAAAAGGACTGGTTTAAGTTTCACAAAAAGTTTCTCATTCGCAAAGTTTAAAAATGTAACGAGTTCTCGCCAAGCCACTCCAGTCCCAAACACAAGGCAATGGCTTTACTGCAGGATCAAACAGAAATGAGCTGTAAGGAGAATATCCTTTTACAGACAAAGGACTAAATTCCTCCTAGCTCTTACATGGGTACATAGAGCTGGGGTAAGTTCAGGAGAAAGGAGCCTCCCGCAGTTCACATAGCCTACATTAGTGGTGGGCAGAGGGGTGCTCTCTGAGCTTAGGGGATTGCTTTGTTACCCGCTCACAGGATCACACTGTCCCTAAGGAGGTGGGAGGGCAGAAAGCAGAAGGAGTCATGGCTGCATCCTCTCTGTGCCACAGAAGGGTGTTTGGGAGAGAATATAGATTCACAGATTTTAAGCCCAGAGGGAACCATTATGATCATCTAGTTGGACCTCTTGCTTAACACATAGAAGCCATAGAATTTCACCTATCACCATTCATTCCAAAACCGTATCAGTGTAAAGTAAGTGCAGCATCTCGCCCTGTCTCTGTTTCCTGAAAATGGATGCCATCATGCTAATTGAACAACAGACACATTGAAAAGCAGCAAGAGGAGACACCGATGTAGCAATTTTCCTGTCAAATGCCATTTCATTTCTCTCCTGAGAGTGTACGAGAATTAGCCCAGCTGTACTCTAAGGACCAGATCCTCAGCTGGTGAAAATCAGCATAGCTGCTCTGCTGATTCACACCAGCTGAGGAACTGTATTCTAAATACTTGTGTTTAGAACTCTGCATAAGTGTATGCACAGGAAATAACAGCTAAGGTTAAAGAGATATTGGGCCTGATTCTCCTCTCATACCCAGTTAAATCAGGAGTAATTTCATTTAAGTCAGTGGGATTACACCTGTACAAAATTGGGGTGAGATCAGAATCTTGAAATGCATGTGGGTCGTAATAATAATTAGTGTTTTGTGTGTCTCCAGTACTTTTTAGCTGACTGTCTTCACACAGGACTTATGCCCATTTAACAGATGAGGAAACAGGAGAAAACTGGTGAAGTGACTTGCTCAAGGCCATGCTACACTTCAGTGGCAGTTGGGGCTAGAACAGAGATCTCCCCTCCCCCTCAGTCCTGTTTTCTAACCACATTGCCTCTGGCTGCTTAAGTAAGCTAAGTTGCTCATGGAAACATGTGTGCCCAAATCTCTCCTCAAAAATCACCACAAAAAAAGGCTAAATCTATTCCTTCCCCTTCTGTTATGCAGACAAGGGAACATGTGGACATTCTCTCTAACCTACAGGAACCAGCAAAATGCTAGTGTCGTAGCAATTCTAAACTCACAGTTAACATGCTGCTTATTTGTTCACAAAATCATAAAAAAAAAAAAGAAAAAAGGACTGACCTAAAACATCCAGGCCCTTCTGCCCACCTAACAAACCCCAGTGTGGCCTCTGCAGGGCCAGCGCAACCCATTAGGCGACCTAGGCGGTCGCCAAGGGCACTACAATTTGGGGGGCGGCGACCGCGGCGGTATTTCGGCAGCGGGACCTTCCGCCGCCTCTGTGGGGGGCAGCATTTCGGGGCGGGACCTTCCGCCGCCTAGGGTGGCAGAAAAGCTGGCGGCGCTCCTGGGCCCCTGAAACAAACAAGCAAAATTCATAGTACAGCCAAGCCTTACATAACTGTCAAGATGTATGCCTGGATCACAAAAGCAAGGGCATGACCTTACTGCTGGAGCCATTGTATACCTTCCCCATGACCTCTCCCATGTTTGTGCCTAATCCTTCACAGGACTGAGCTCCTCCTGGAAATGGCTTCATCTCCCATTGACTTTGGTGGTAGATGAGGGTACTCAGCACCCTCTGGGAGGTGTTCATTATGTCACAGGATCAGGACCTTAAGCCATGATCCTGCAAACACCTGCTTCCATGCTTAACTTTAACTTCCAGGGGATTTCTCACATGTGGAAAGTCAAACACATACATACGTGTTTCCTAGATACAGACCTTAGACTGTAAACTCTTAGGAGAAAGGACACTGAGATCAGAATCTGATCAGAGTTACAACAGTGTAAACAGAAGAACAGGAGTACTTGTGGCACCTTAGAGACTAACACGGCTGCTACTCTGAAAAGTGTAAACAGAGTTTCTCTGGATTTATACTGATGTAACTGAGATCAGAAGCTGTTCCAGTCTTTAACTTAGCTGTAAACTGTCAGGAACATTTCTGGCATTGTATAAATAATTCTGTTCTTATTCATGCCAGTTTAAATCTGGGGAGATTCCACTGAATTCAATGGAATTGCTTCAGATTTACATAAATGTAACTGAGAAGAGAGCCTGTGGGAAACCTGTGGCTGACACCTGTTGCGAACCACAGATTATTTCCCTGATGTAAACAGAGCATCTATATTATAGGTTTGGGGTAGGGGGAACCCTACATTTTAACAAAGAATATTTTTTCCCTTGATTAAAAAGATAGGGACAGATTCAGGTGCAAATCAGTGTAGCTGCGCTGAAGTTAATGGAGTTATGACAATTTACACTAGCTGAGGATCTGCCCCATAATTTATTTTTGTAATCTATAATCTTTCTCTCTCTCTTCATCTAGGATAAGATTCTCCCAGCAGGCTTCAAATCTTAATTGGAAGTTCCTTCTCTTTAACTGGAAAGAAATCAGGGGTTAATTTCATAGATGGAAAGGGAAAAACCTTACCTAGTTCTTCTGCAACAGCAGGTGAGGTAGCTGTCTGCACCTTTCCTTTTGAGGAGGACTCTGTGTTCTCTCCAGCACACTGGAGAAACACTTTCCCCCCTGCCCTTGTTCTTGCTGCACTGAATTCCCTTTGACTCGCTCTTCTTTGTTGCCACAGGAAGCTTTCTACATTAAACTGATGGGCCTGGCAGAAGCTTCCAGTCAATTCACTTTCACCACCACAGCAGCAGTGAGTCTTCTCCCCAGCTGTAGATACTAACACAAAGAGCAGGGCACAGGGGAAAATGCTTGAAAAGCCTGAGTTGTAACATTTCAATAGGAAAGAAATAAAATTTTCCTCTCGGGGGGTGTCTGTGCATTAGCTCCCAAGAGTTCAATGTCTTTGGAACATTATAAAACAATTCTTTGTGCATTTCCAAACTGCTGCAGGGCAAAAGGAGGCAAAAAAATAATTGTCATTAGAATTCTTCCGCCCCTCCCCCAGACAACAAAAAGGGCTCTGCCCTGGCTTGATTTTGTACAAAAATATCCCTTAGGGAAATAGCCAGGGCTACAGTATTCTCTTCGGCAAAAGGGCTTGGAAAGAATCAATAGTCTCTTCAACAGCAAGATTCTTTTTCTGCTGAGATAATTGAAAGTTTTGTTACTCTTATTTAATTCATGGCTTTAGATTTCAGGGTTCCTGTCAGGGGGCATCCAATTGATTTCAAATTCACAGGCCTTTGTCCCTCCAGCCATTTGACTGACAGCCTCAGGATGCCCTTCCCATGGCTACTGACCTCTCTGTTTGCAAAGATTTACAGATTGAGTGTCTTCCTATTTCCTGTATTGTCTGCTTTCAAATGTTGCCTTCAAATATTTGTAACGCACATCAGTCTTGAGCTTGATGTATTTGGGTGGGTAGCAGACTTCTTTGGTAAGCACAGGGACTCCTCCCACCCCCACCCCCACACACCAGAGTCTTTTCCAGACAGCTGTAATAGTGGGATGTTTGTGTCTGGGAACTTGGAATATTTAGCCAGTGTTTTTGCTTGTAGCCAAAGTCACAAGGTACAGAGAAACAGTCTGGGAGGTTGTTATGGAAACAAGTCCCTGGAGATTCCTACTTTCCACAAATGCTTCACAAAGATGTGCTCTGACTTCAGAAGGAAAATAGCTAGATAGACAGAACAACAGCCTCTTATATCCCAAATGAAGGCCTAAAGTCAAGAACTTGGGTGTTTTCAAAAATCCCACTCTAAGTGATGTGAGAGCACAAGTCCTATTGAAAGCCAATGGGATGTGTGCACCTAAATCACTTAGGCATTATCTTAACTCCCACCCATAATTCCCAAATAAAAGTGGCCCTCTGCTGAGAAGTGCCGAGCACCCATAATAATTGCAAATGCTCAACAACCCTGAAAAATCAGCCCACGTTCATTAAGGTGCTTAAAATACTGATTTTGGATGCCTAACTTTAGGCACCCAAGTTTGCATATTTGGACCTTTGTGTCCTTTTTGTCCTTCTCTCAGTTATGGCAAAGGACATCCATAAAGTCAATTTCACTCTTTTTTCATAGACAGTTTCATCTGCAGGTTCTTCTCAGTGTTGAAAAGTTTGGGAGGCAAACACTGCAGGGAGTTGTTTGTTTGCAGCAGACTGCTTTCACTAGCATGTTTCTTTGTTTTGTAGAGGTATTTCTATTGACCACCAAACCTACACATGCCACAAAACCCCCACATTTCAGTTGAGAGCATCCCTTAAGCAAACACAATTCCAGGATACCTGGACAACACCTTCATGCTGGAGTTAGGTTACTGAGATTGTCCTGCCAGCAATTTGGTCTGAATCTAAATGTCTTAGAAAACAAGGGTTTCTGCCAATCAGTGATGCCGGTGTCAGTTACCCAGGGAAGAAATGGGCAAAAGAATTTAAGCTTCTGATGCAGATAACAGTATGTCTTGTCTCTTCTCCTGAACTTTTGTTTAAGTTGAGTTTTTTATATCTCAGTTTAGGGAAACTTTTAGCAACTAGTATACACATACATAAAAACAACCCCAAACATAGCATGGGCAGTGCCCTAGATACCTCGAGCGGTGTCTCTCAAAAAGAAGGCCATTCAGCAGAGCTACTGCACACCTGCTGGTACCACAAAGAGTCTGAGCACAAACAGTCTCTGCCATAGAAAAAAAATCATAATCATAATTCATTATGTAAAACAGTCTTCCTGAAATACAACCAAACAAAATAGCTTTGTGCTGAACTATCAGCTACCATCAGTTTCAATTGGAGTTTATAGTACACCTCTACCTCGATATAACGCTGTCCTCGGGAGCCAAAAAATCTTACGTTATAGGTGAAACCGCGTTATATTGAACTTGCTTTGATCCACCGTAGTGCGCAGCCCCGCCCCCCTGGAGCACTGCTTTACTGCGTTATATCCGAATTTGTGTTATATCGGGTGGCGTTATATCGAGGTAGCAGTGTGCTCATCACATCTCACAATCTGGCCTAAGGACTTGATCTTGCACCATGGAAATCCATGGTAGTTTTGCTACTGACTTCAGTAGGAGAAGGATCAAGGTCTAATGCTTTGATCCTCCACTAAGAACTTGTGGAGAGATCACTGCACCCAATACAGAGCCCCTTTGAAGTCAGTGGGACTCAGGGTGAGCACAAGTGTTGAGGTTTGCCCACGCAGTTCTCAGTGCAGGATCAGGGCCTAAATGAGGAAAGACCATGATAAAGTCAGTCAAGGTGTGGAACCAAATCTCAGAACAGGAGGGAATTAGTAGGGTCACAAAGGTACAAATCTGTGCTAATTGCTCCTGTCTCACAATCCTGCTGTTTTTGTCTTAAAACCTGGTGGGGGAGCAACACATTTAAATAAAGGACACTCCTTTATTTTATCTTTTTTCTTATTCCTTAGGACCCTGCTTTATGGCTTCAGCACATAATACACATAATATGCAGGAAATGTATATACATTATGTACACTGTTCTATGTATTACACATGTTATATGCAATATGTAAAACAGGTAATACATATATAATATAGCACAATGCATTAATGGCTGCCTCTCTCTCACTCTCTAATGCACACACATGCATGCAAAATATACATTTAATTTTAAAAGACATTTCCTTATCTGTGGATTCTGTAAGCATCAATTTCCCCTTCCTCCCCACTTGCTCTCCAACAAGGAAGGGTGTTGAGTAATTATTTTAAATCAGAAAAAAGGCAGAGTTATTTTAGATAGTGAGATGATCTGGACACAGTAGATGCACCTTGAGTTGTAAAATGTGCTCACTGATAAGCATAATGCTTCAGACCAGAGTGTGCCTTTTGCACTGCTGACAAATGTTGCTCTCATAAGAACCTGGAGTATGTGAACCATCTTGGTGTGCCTTCCATCTAAACTTACATTTTGAGTATTTCTTGTTAAGACAGCAGCACCTTTCCAAGATTAAGCCTTTAGGTCTTTTTCCTCATTCAAAAGATCCCAGTTATGCCTTTAGGGTTTATCTAGATAGATTAGAGAAATTTGCACTGGTGGCAATGCATACCCCTAAATGACACAACTATACTGGTGTGATTGACCCCGGTGGGTTGGTCATACCAATGTAAGCCCCATTTTGCACTGATGCAGTGTGTCTACAGCAGGGGTCTGCAGCAGTGTAAATACACCATTGCAAATTTCCCTAATCTATACAAGCCCTTAAATTCAGAACTGCACACCCCAATGAAGTCAACTGCTCCCATGGTTCTAAGTACAGAACTGGATACTTGTAGTATAAAGTACATTTCATTAAAACACTTATGTGGTACATGTCAGAAGACAAAGGAATTAGCCCAAACGTGCCTTGCATAGGAAGACACTTATAGGAACAAAGATGGTGTTGCTATGATAAATGCTAATTAACACTAGGGTACTGATGGAAACAAAAGTGAAATTTGTTCAAACACAATGAATAAGAAAATAATTACTATAAATTTAAAAAACAACTGTTTCTGCTATGCCACAGATGGCAAATATTGGTCACGACTTCTATCATGGCAACAAGTTAAAAATTAAAGTGCTTTTAGATCTGAAAATCTAATAACAAACAGGCCCTTACATGCACACTGCAGTGCAAACCCAGGGAAAAGTGTCAGCGGAAGGACACTCGTTGATTTTCCCTATATCTGCAGAACACAATGCAACACTGGATCCAACATTTCCATTCTCCCAAGGCAACCGCATGGCAGGCATGACTGATCCCACAACCAAGGTCACTGCACCAGCACAGGAATTCACCAGCACAGCTTGAGACAGATGTTAGTAGCCCATTTGACCTATTCCCTGCCTGATCTTTTAGCAACAAATGTGGCCTGGGCTTTTCTTTTGTCGATGTAGTAGAAAAATTAGTCTTCAAAGTTACAACTGGAATAAAGCTCCGCCCCACGCCAAAAATAAAATGGAAGGGGAAGGGGACAACAAGTGGGCCCCCTTGATCTATAGAGTAAGACAAAGGAATGTCCAATTGCACAAGCTAATGAGACATAGCAACCAAGGACAAGAGTGTCCAGATCACAAGCAATTTGTTTTCAGCATCACAATTCGCAGTCTGGTGTTTTGTCTTAAACGTATGCAGCTGCTACTGGGAGAGAGAATGTGCAGCAGCTTGTGGCTATACATTTGGGATCCAGGAGAACGGGGCGAGGGTAGTAGAACTGTAAAAGTCCAGTCTTGTTCCACACCCTGTTAGAGAAGCTGATCACACTTCTGTCAGCATTTTCTTCCCTCTGTAGCCCTGATTGCTGGCTGGAATGAAGTTGGGATATTTCATAGATTCTAAATCTTCTGCCTCCAGAAATTCTGATTTACTGAGGGACTGATTACTGCCCCCCTTTTTAGGCTCCGAGAAAGGAGATTGCTGCTCGCCACAGGTGACATGGGTGTACTGGCACTGCTCCTCCTGCTCAGTTTCTCGGTGGTAGAAGTAGTTGAAGTTGGACACGATGACAGGTACGGGCAGGGCTATGGTCAGCACGCCAGCGATAGCACACAAGGAGCCCACGATCTTGCCCCCGATTGTCATAGGGTACATGTCCCCGTAGCCCACAGTGGTCATGGTCACTACTGCCCACCAGAAAGCATCTGGGATACTGGTGAACAAAGATTCTGGGTCATCAGTCTCAGCAAAATACACAGCGCTAGAGAAAAGGATCACACCGATGAAAAGGAAAAAGATGAGGAGACCGAGCTCTCTCATGCTGGCCTGGAGGGTTTTCCCCAGGATCTGCAGCCCCTTGGAGTGTCTGGAGAGCTTGAAGATCCTGAAGACCCTGACCAGGCGGATGACCCTGAGGATGGCCAGGGACATGGCTTGCTGCTGGCCCCCGTTGTTGTTAATGGCGGTCCTAGGCTGCTGTTTTTGCTGTTGCTCCTGAGCCAGCTCGGTGCCCAGGGTGATGAAGTAAGGGATGATGGCCACGATGTCGATGATGTTCATGATGTTCCTGGAGAACTCGGGCTTGCTGGGGCAGGCGAAGAAGCGCACCAGCAGCTCGAAGGAGAACCAGATGATGCACAGGGTCTCGATGAGGAAGAAGGGGTCGGTGAAGAAGGGGTTTGCCCTGGGAGAGAGGTGCATCGGAGACGGGGTGCCATTTGGCTGCTCAGGGAGCAAGAACATCTGGTCCTCCAGGTGCGCGCCCTCCGCAAAGCCCGGCGGTGCGCCCTTGCTCTCCTGGCGGAACTCGGGCAGGGTCTCCAGGCAGAAGATGACTATGGAGATGAGGATCACCAGCACCGAGACGATGGCGATGCCCCGGGCCGGCCCAGAGCTCTCCGGGTACTCGAAAAGGAGCCACACCTGGCGTTGGAAGTGCTGTTGAGGCAGGGGCTTCTCCTCCTCCTGGATGAATCCCTCGTCCTCCCGGAAGGTCTCGATGGCCTCCTCGCCCAGCTGGTAGAAGCGGATCTCCTCCATGAAGATGTCCAGGGGCACATGGACCGGCCGGCGCAGCCGGCCCCCCGACTGGTAGTAATAGAGGATGGCGTCGAAGCTGGGCCGGTTCCGATCGAAGAAGTACTCGTTGCGCAGCGGGTCGAAGAAGCGCATCCGGCGGCTCGGGTCCCCCAGCAGCGTGTCCGGGAAGAGCGACAGGGTCCGCAGCTGGGTCTCGAAGCGCAGCCCGGAGATGTTGATCACCAGGCGCTCGCTGCTGCAGCAGCTGCCGCTCCCGCTCCGGTCCTCCCCGGCAGCCTCCGCCTCTCCGCAGCCGCCCCCGGCCCCTGCGAGAGACAGGGGCTCCTCCGCCCTCATGCCAGCTGCACCGCCTGGCCAGGGGAGCCAAGCCTGGCGGGGAGGTGGCGGGGCAGCCCTGGGTCTGCTGCTCTGCCCAGCTCAAGGTGCGCTCTCCCTCCCCCCGCTGCTGCTGGGGTCTGGGTCCCTCTGTCCTCCGCTCTCCCGACTGGGATCTGAGTCTGTCTGTCCCTCCTCTCCCCCCCCCCCCACCCCTGTCCCCCGCTGGGGTCTGTCTGTCCCTCCCCTTGCTGGAGTCTAGTTGGGTTCGTCTGTCCCTCCCCTCCCGCCGCTGGGGTCTGGGTCTGTCTGCCCCTCCTCGCTGGGGGCTGGAGCTAGCGGTCTGTCCGGCTGTCCCTGTTTCACCTCCCGGAGGCTGGCTCGCAGGCTGTCCTTCCCTCTCCTTCAGGAGCCGGGGTGTGTCTGTTGCTCCCGCTTGCCAGTTTCTCTCTTCCCCTGGGTGGGTCTGGGTCTGTCCGTCCCTCGCGCTGCTCCGGGGCTCGGGGCCGCTCAGTCTGTCCTTTCTGCCGAGGTCCGGCTGCCCTCTGCCCTCCGCCCAGCGCTCCGCCTGTTGCTCCTTCTGCGCACCGGCTCAGCCTCTGCCGGTGCCTGGCTCTCGCTCTCCAGCGCGGGCTGCGCCCCGCTCCTCCTCGCCGGGCACCGGCTGGGTGTCTGGGCGCCTGCCCCTCGCCCCGGCCTCTCGCTGCTACCGCAGCTCCTCCAGCTCCGTCCTCTCTCCTTCCTACACACACAGCTAGACGTGGAGCGGAGAGTGGTGCCTGCCTCCGCCTTCCTCCCCATACCCCCGCCCACCCAGCCGGAGGATGCAGCCACAGTAAACTCGGGGGAGGGGGGCGATCGGTGCCCGCACTGCCCTCCCCATCAGCGGCCCTACAAGCTCCCAGCGGGAAGGTGTAATTCGCTACGGCCCTCCAATCCTAACGGATGGATGCACGACCTTCCCCCGCGCGAACTGCTTTGGAGCCAGATGCTCCAACTCAGGGGCTTGCTCTGGAGGTAGCAGCTCCCCCTACTCGGAATGACACAGTTTTGTTAACCTAAGCCCCGGCGAATGATAGAAAACAGGGCAGCATGATCCAGTGTTCAGAGCAGGGAACGTGGCTCCAGGAGACCTGGAGCGTGCTCCCTTCTTTGCCCATGACTATCTGACCTTGAGCAAGTCTCTGGGTGGTTTTAAACAGCCTCCAGAGCCTCACTTTATATGTATGATGTGATCACGTATATTAAAAGAACAACATTTGTTACCCTTAGGAAACTGGCTTTGTGAATGGAAATTACGGGGAGTCAGGAGACCTGGGCTCAGGAGGGATAACCGAGTGAAATGTTGCGTCCTGTGTACTACAGGAGATCACACTAGGTGATCTAACACTAACGGTCCCTTCTGGTCCTAACATCTATTACTAGCTCCTTCTATCATTTAATCTCACCGTGGCTCAGTTTCTCCATTTGTAAAAGGGGTCTAATGCGCCTTCCACTCCTTGCAAAGAACCATTAGATCATTTGATGAAGAGTACTTTACCAGTGCTAAGTATTATTATCTAGGCTTTTATCATTGTAGCATCTGATGACTTTGTTGGCTTCCAGCCATGTCCTCAGTCCAGCCATCCCTAAACAGCATACAGTGTAGAAGCAAAGCATTCCCTGAACTCTCTCCCTTTCCAGTCTAGTTATCTGCCAAGATTCTTGGTTGTTAAGGCCTGGAATGCTTTTGACCAGTTGGTTGCTGCTCTTCTTGGTTCTGTTTTCAGAAAGGAGGTGAGAATCAGCTATTACATTATTTTAACATTGCCTAGTTCTTTTTCCCTCCTCTTGTTTTCTGTGCTAAATCAGCAAGTCTGCTGCACTAGGAGGTGTGGTTTCTGTTTACATCATGCATAATTAGGCAATTTATGCATCACATGACAAAGTTTATCAAAGAATAGATCCTTTTAAAAAAATCAACATTTATTTTGTGATGGTAAAAAGCAATTTACTATGATTCATTTTTCAAATCTTATTATGAATTATTCATTCATATGGTTACTTGAATCATCATTATTATGATTTATTCATTCATGTCATTACACATTCAGGATATTTCTTTTAAATTCTTTTGGGAAGGATGGGCAGGCTCCTGCAGTTTGTAACTGGATACACAACCTTTCACCTCTAAGGCTAGTGGGGCTGAATCAGACCCAGGGCAGTAGGGATCAAAAGTCACTAGTACAGGACAGGACTTCAACAGTCTGTATGGAATTGGCTAATGGAGCTCAGTACAGTTCTAGTGGACAGGTATCTCACTCATCCTTGAGACAATTTGGTAGTCTCAACAGTCCATTCCTATGTTTGACACAAGAATGGTTGGGGAGAGGGAGCAAAACTAGCTTTGAACACCTCATATTTTGAGGCAACTTGGCCCTGGCCTCAATTAGAGCAGCATTCAGGTTCCTCTAACTTAAGCTCTACCTTCCCTGGTCCTCTGTGGGCTTGGGCAAAGGGAGAATAGCCAGCATACTGCTCTGGTAATTCTCTCTCCCTCTCAGCTCCAACCCTCAGCTAACACCTGACTGCTCCCCTTCACTGGAGGCTGGAAGCAGGACTCTGTGTCATTGAGGGAGCACTCTTCCATAGGAGTATTTTGAGGAGGCTTCTTCAATATGAGAGTGGCATAGAGGAACATTAGGTAAAAGGAGAACTGGCCCTAGGCAGCCTAAATAATGAAGGTAGAGACTGAAATATAGTTTCACAACTCCAGTTGCTCTAGATCAGAGACATACTGAAGGGAGAAGCATGAAGAAGTTTGAAATCTGTTGCCCTGGCTTCCTGTGGATAAAAAGAGGAGATCAGCCTCCAGGGTCGTGAATGTGGTAGCTTTTGCCAACACCAAACTCATTTTTAATACTGTTGTTAAAAAGGGGAATAATTAGCTTATACATAATGCAAAGATGAACAACAGCTAGCTGTTGCAAGTGTTTAGCTTAGAGAATTGTTAAAATACTAAGAATTCACACAACTGTTTTGTTCATAAACATATTCTAGGCTGCCAGTTGATTGAAGGGAAAGCTTGAAGAAGGAAAATAAGAGCCGCAAAAGCAATTTGCTTTATATGGCAACATACTCATGTACGAAAATTTCTAATGTGCAAAAACTAAATTGGAAGGTTAGGGGCCTGCCACACAGTTAGATGTGCACTTCTGGTGAATTTTGGGTGATTTTTTCCCCACAGTCTGTCTCAGCTACTTACACGACCCACATTAAATGTGGTATCTGAGCAACTCACAAACTTTAACGTATTTATCTGCAAAACACGCCGGTGAAGCAGGACGATGCTATTATTCCCATTTCACAGATAGGGAACTGAGGCAGAGAGACTAACTGACTTGCTCAAGATCACACAGGAAGTCTGTAGTGGAGCAGGGGCTTGAAGCTGGGTCTCCAGCTACGAGAGAACAAATAACTATTTTTTTCCTGAATGTGCATTAAGATTGAAATTTTTGCAGTATGAATGGATTTGGAGACCTGATTCCCATTAATTGTCACAAGAACTGGACATCCAGATCTCTTAGGCACCTGCCAGAATCCCAGTCTAAAACCTTTACATTGCTTATTTAGACCAAACTTCACCAAAGTGGCCTCTGATTCTGGGTGCCTGTTTTTGGGCGCTCAGGTTAAGACACCTCAGACTTGATTATCCGAGGCACTGGGCACCACAGCTCCTGTTGACAGCAGCTGGAGTTGTGGATGCTCAGCACATTCTGAAAAATCTGGCCCATGATGTTGCAACCTGAGCACCCAAGAACTGGGGTTCCCAAAATCAGAGGCTACTTTGGAAAATTGTGCCCCAAATAAGTAGTCCTTTGAAAGCCTGTTACTCCCTTATGGGTTCCTCTTTTCATTCTTTGTCGTCCTATCCCCCTATGGCTTCCGTTTCCCCCTTCTGTAACTTTCCTCTTCTCATCCTTCCTGGGTTGTTTTCTTCCCTCCTGCCTTCCCTTTCTGTCCTAGGACTGGCCTCTCCTCTGGCCCCTATTGGCTTCCTCTCTAAACTGCAGATAGCTTTCTCCCAATATAGCAAGCCCCCCACACTCCTGCAACTGCTTCTAGAGCTGGGCTCACCTTAGCAAGGCTGGAGGTGGCAGCTGGCTGCCAAAACTGAGAGAAGAAGTTGGCAGGGGACAGAGGAGGGAGCTACTGAGCAGCCAGGAAAACAGCTGTTTAGTTTTTTAAAAGGCTACACAGACCCGTAAGCAGGACTACAAGCTCTCAGAAGTTTCCCCGCCAAACCAGGGCAGCTGACAACTATGCATGCACAAGTAAGGTGAAATTCACCCCAAGGCAAAGCACCCACAACTAACAGTAGTCACTGGAGTCAGTGTATACAGCTCCTTGTCATATGACCTTTTGTAATCCTGCCCTGCATCAGGTGACTGGAGCCAGATAATGAAAAGAAGAATCTTACCAGCACTCATGTCTACCAGACCTTTAAGCCCTGCTTCAAGTCTTAATGCAGGGCTTAAGTGCATATAGGCTTTAGCTTTTATTCTGCACTAAGGTGAAAATCACCCACAAGGAGCCAAAATGTTAAATGAATCCAGATGGCCTAAAAGCAGTAATAGCCACCGAAAAGTTTGCTAGCTGGGAAAATGGCCAGAAAAGGGTCAATCACTTCAATTTATACACAGAACTCAGTTACAGCCAACTTGACCCCTCCCCACTTCCTAACAGTCATAAATCCACAGATGGGAGTGCTAAACTGAGACGGGAAGCAAAAATTAGCTCATGCTTTCAGCCGTAACAGCACCTCCAAACACCAGTTCTCCAGTTTCCCTCACCACCACCCCTCAAAACAGCTACAGGATCCAGCCCACTAGTAAACAGCCTCCAGTCTCCACAGCACTAGCCTGAAGTGGAACTAAAAACTAGTGGCCAAATTTCCCATTTTCTTTTTATTCCTGGGCAAAGTGTGTGTAATATACAACCATTCTGACCTGCCTTTTCCACACACCTAAATAACCATACATGATGCAGACAGTGAAGAATTAGCCCTGGGTTCCAATTCTGGTTCTGTCTGGAGCTCTCTCTACACTGGTATCTGTGTGTGTGTGAAAATCATATATCAAATTCTCAGTCAGTGCAGCTCCACCAGTGCTAGAAACTGTGGATGGTGTAAGGTAAAAATATACCATAGGTATTTGATGACCCTCTAAAAAGATTCTTGCACCTTGTCCACATTACAGCTTCCACCATTGCTAACACTGATGGAGCTGCATCAGAGAAGAATGACAGGTCCAAATTTTCCTAATACAGAAATGCCCTGAGTGGTCACTAAACTGAAAATCTCTGTCGAAATTCCCCTTTGAGCTCATGGCTCCATCTTATCCAAGTTGTCCTCAGAAAATTGTGCAGCTTTCATGTACCAGAGTTTCAACATTGTCATTGTGAACCAAACACTATGGCTCCAGCCCAGTCCCCTACAATGGCCCCCATACACCAAAGTCAAGAGTTTCAAATGTGACTAGTGACTTTGGGTGCCCAACTTGAAACATCCGGTCCAACCCACACAGCTGGTCATACCCTGAACCTTATCTTCTGACTAGTATCAAGACAGACAAATTACAACCGGCCACTGTCTTGGACAGACTATTACCTCATGAAAGCAGTGTAAGACCTCAGGCAACAAGCTCAATTATCCTGATTTGACCACGAAGGCTCATTAATAAACTCCAAAGCCTGCTAAAGGACAGCAGCACCCCACTCACAGGATAAGGAATTGATGCCCTACAGTGGCCTGGGCCATTGACATGCTGGCTCCCAGACAGCTCCTTCTTTCCCCTTGCCCACACAGATCTCCTCAGGTTTTTGATGCTGGATGAAAAGAGATGGGGTGGAAATTTGAGTAGGGTGACCAAATTTCCCTATGCTGAATATGGGACACCTGGTAAAATTACTCATATTCAAGCAAGTTC